AGCTCGCCGCGAGCGACAGGCGGCCGGCCTCAGAACCCCTCCGGCGGCGGCGGTGCCGGACGCGGAGGAGGTGGGAAAGCGCCCCGACGACGCGGACGTGATGGTAGCTTACGTCAAGAGGATAGACGAGGCCGTGGGTGAGAAGGCGCAAAGGAGGGCGGTGAAGGAGATTGCCGCTTACCTCATCCGGACGGAGAAGGCGCATGGTGGGGTGCCTTTTGCCGTCAGGATCCAGGAGGCGAATGATCGGATCGCCGGCGAGAAGGTGGCGGTGGAGGAGGAGGAGGCCCACCAAACTGAATGGTCTGAGGAGGAGGCGGACGAAGCCGAGTGGTCCGATGAGGAGGTGGACGGGGCCGAGTGGTCGGAGGAGCAGGCGGAGGACGAGGCGGAGGACGAGGCCGACCAAGCCGAGTGGGCGGAGGAGGCGTTTGATCAAAGTCGCGCCGATGCGGAGGACCTGGCCGCTTACATTAAGGACATGCAGAAAACGGAGGAGCTGGACCCTCACCACAAGCGGGCGGCGGATGGCCGGCTCGGCGTCGTCGGCGACGATGCCGGCAAGAACCCCCTGCGCACCCAGTCGCGCGAGGAGGTGGTTTGCGAGGGCATGGTCAACGTGTGGCGGGTATGCCGGAACTTGGCGAAAGAGCACTCCCCGGAGAGGTGGGCCTTTTTCGACGAGGATGCCGAGAGGATCCGGGAGAGGCTAGACGACAACCTCGAGTTGGCCCGCAGGCACCGCAAGAGGCACGGGCCCGGGTCGTGGTCTCTGACGCGCGACAACGACAACCTAGAGGGAATCCCCCAGGCGGACTACTCGTCCACCGAACAAGTCGGCGGGAGCGTCAGCGACGACGGGCCCGTCCCCGCGATCCCCTCCATCGTAGTCGGGTGGGACGACATACCCCGCCCGTCGAGGGGCGGTCCGTCCCCGCCCATCAGGGAGGAGATGGCCGACGGCGAGGCCGAGGAGGAGGAGGAGGATGAGGAGGAGGTCCCCCGGGGGAGGCACCTCCGCCCGGGGGCCATCGCGCAGGCTCCCCACGCGCCGCAGTACTACATCGGCACGCATGTCCCCAGCGCCAAGTACCAGCTCGCGCGTTTCGAGGAGGCCGAGGACGGGACCCGCCGCCTCGTGCGGTGGGCACCGCCCCCCGGCCACTACCTCGACGATCTGAACCGGGCAAACGCAGCGCGCACCCTTTGGAACCCGGGGCACGCGGCGGGCCGAGATGTCGGGGGAGGTGTAGGGGAGGGCCAAGGGCGCGGCCGCAGGTCCAAGCGCAGCCCCGCGCCCTCGCCGCCAGATTTGCTCAAGGCGCGCCCCAGGAAGCGCCAGCGGAAGTAGACGCTCTTCGTGTCCAACGCAAAGGGGGAGGGAGGGAGGGTTGGGGGAGAGGTGAAGGGTCTGGGAGATTATAGGAGACGATGTTTTGGTGCTGTAAGATGGGAGATGATGCGTTTCAGGGGCTGCTATAAGGATCTCTTATTGCTCGTTTTCTTTTTATTTTTGGTTTTGGTTTGTTTTCCTTCCTGCTTTATTCCTCTTCTTGTTCCTGGTCTTGTGTTTACTTTTATTTTTATTCTCATTCCGACCCATGACATGCCTATTCCTATCACCCCAACAACTGTAATCCCCAAATCCTATGCTGGTAGCCTTTTTGTTGTTTAGAGGACTCCCATCTTTTTGTGGTGGGCGTTGATACCGGGTGATTCTTGGGTTCGAATAAGCCCGCAACTTGGAGCTCGTTAAGGCTTCGTTTATATGACAGTGGCTCGAACAGGTTAACTGCTAATTACAGCCCGGGATGGAAGTCGAAATCAAGCATTTTAAACGTGGTAAATAAATTTGGAGTTTCATCTCCCTTAACGGATATCCATCCCTCCCTACCAACCCACCGATAAGCGTCTTATATTAAGCGTCAAATGCTGCCAAAACATACACAGCCACCATAGGTAGCCAGAAGCCATCCCAACCCCGGTTCCCAAAGTACCTCTGGCCGAGGATGAACTCCTCGAGCGACGGCACGTGGTGCCACGCCGCGCCGCGCTCGACCGCGAGCCCCTCCAGCAGGTCGAGCATGGACTCGAGCCCATCCCGCCGCGCCAGCGCCGCAGCCCAGCCGCCCGTCTCGGGCGTGTCTACGACGGCGCCGGCCTCGAGCAGCAGCGCGAGCATGGCCTCGTCCTCGGCCGCGGCGGCCAGCGCCACGGGCGGCGGCGTGCCCAGGTTCGGGGTCGGCGCGGGCGCGGCCTAGTAGTAGGCGTGCCACGGCCGCGTCGCCGCACCGCGCCGCCTCGCCCAGGGGCGTGGCGCCCACGAGGTGCGCGTTT